TTCCCTACAGGTGTTGCTGGGTCCTGCATTAGGCTTCTTCTCAAAAGCTGAGTCAGCTCCCCTACTCATGAAGAGTACTGGGGTCCAGATCTTGTGGTTACTCTACTGTCTTTCTTAGCACTTCTTTAAAGTGGGGAAGCCTCGGGCCACCAGGCGCGCACTCCTGAGCCTGATCCATGCCTCAGCCCTAGCCCTTTGCCTCCTTTGCTCTTGGGGTGCTTCAGGAGACAATGGTGGGTCTGGTCATGGGCAGGTTCATGCTGGGGCCTCCAGGCCTAAGGGCCCTGCTAACTCAGGGTCCCTTGGGGGAAAGCATTGGAAAGTCCATCTCACTGGGAGGGTCTGTTAAGGTTGGGCTTGAGGGCATGTTGTCCTTGTAGGATTCCTCTTCCTATGCTAACCCAGGGCAATCTGTGACACTTAGCTGCTCTCCCTTTTCCTTGCCAAACTAGTCATTGTAGACAGATTGGAACTATGTAGTGTGTTCAGTGGGATGTATTTTGAAGTAAGTCCCATTGAACACAAGTAGGCCTTATTGCTTGGAAAACTCAAATAAGATTGGGCTGTCTCTCTGTTATGTACACAGACCACCACCAGGGGTCTGTGGCTAGAGTCAGAGCTTAGCTCCTTTAAACAATAGGAACCTAGGATCCTAGTTCCCCCAGCATTCACCAATAGCAGCTTTGGCGGGAAATTCAAACCCTCCAATGGGACTGTGGGTGTGCTGGGTGGGTGTGTATATAGTTGGCCTTGCAAGGCCGTTTTCCAGTTCCTGTGTTAAGTACTATAAACATGTGCAAATGCATGTCATAGTCCGAGTCCTCCCTGTGGCGAACCCAGTACTTTTCACTCTCTGTCTTTTTGCTTGATTATGGCATTTAATTGCATGCATAAACGTGTTGGGTATTTACTCTGCTCCCCTGCAGATCCAGTTAAGATGGGGAAATGTTTACAGCAACCCTCCCAATAATTTATTGGTCAGTCTCCCAATATTTCACCTTCCCCTTACAGGCCTTGGGGCCTGATTGTGCAAGAAACTTCTTTTTATCAGCATTCTGACTGGAAACGTAGAGATGGCTGTTTAGTGTGCTGCAATATGGCCTAGATATTGTTGTGCCATTTAAAAATATTATGTGGCTTCTTAACCCCATCTTTGGGCTTCATTGCTCCCTCCTCTCTCTCTCTCTTACACACACACGCATGCGCGCACACACAGGCACACACACACACACACCAGATTCTCCAAAGTCATGGTTTCTTTTCATCTTTCCTTCCCAAAATTTCTTCCCCCAGGAATTACTGGCACTCATTCTCCTCCATTAATTATTTTAATGGTTACCTCATCAGAATTATTTCATATTTCCCCCTGTATCTCCCCCACTCCCCAGGAATTAACACCACCTGTTCTAACAAGGGTGGTTATTACTTCTTATCTCTGTTGTGCTGTTGCTTCCTTTGGCTCTCTTTTCCTCTTCCCAATTTTGAGGCGCTGTTTCTTAGGATGATTCCTCAACACAAGTGAAATGTAATAAAGGGGAGGAAAGTAATGGGTGTGTGCAATGTATAGAGAAGGCCTCTGAAATATACTGGGTTCGACACGCGAGTAGTGATCAGCTCATAGTTTATTGTGAATCAGCTCTTAACTACAAGACAACTCCAGCAGGGTCGAAGCCTTGCTTATAATCCCATCAAACGGCACACCCCAAACACACCCACTCCCAACAACGGGCTATTTACACACTAATCGCATCCTGATAGGTGGCTGCCAGGATCCTGTTGGTCTATTATGTTTTTCCCCAAGCTCACTTTCTATCTGGCAGCCCTGGGTTGCAGGGAAACTGTGTCAGTACATAACAGCCTCAATTAATTTTTTAAAAGTTCATTTAACCAAAGGGAATGCACGTAGCAGTTCGTGTCTTATCATAAAAACTGGTAATTTGGCTTTTGTGGGTTTTATCACTCTGTTCTTGCTGATGCTATTTATACTACTATACTATAACAGCAGAGGTCATTTCGGGGGGGATGGGGGTACATGACGAAGCCCCGCCCCCTGCTCCCGGCCGCCCCGCTTCTGGCCCTTGTTCAGCCAGGAGGAGGCAGGAGAAGAGGGAGGGTAAGTTGCTTCCTCCCTGCCTCTCCCCACCCCTGCCTGCCTGGGGCCAGGGAGGGCCTTCGCGGGGCTTCCTTGCACTCCCGCCGGCTTTGCAGGTCCACTGCCGGGCCCCTCATAGGGCTCGGCAGTGGAGCTGCAAGGCCAGCGGCGGTGGCCGGGACCGTTGGGGGCGGGGTGTGTGGCCTTATGACACACTTCCGGTGATGTCAGGGGGTGTGGCATATGCTCATGAGTTATGCTAATGAGTTCCCCTAGCTCTTTTTCTACGAAACGACCCTGGTATAATAGTATACTACTGTTTATACTATACTATACTATTTATACTATACTATACTATTTATACTATACTATATACTATAACAGTATACTACTGTTTTACTCTTAACAATACACCTATTTCTATTTACAACACCACAGATCAAAATGAATGTGAACTACTTAATCCCACTGGGAAATGGTATCCCATTATTGACAAACTTACCTTTGAAAATTTTGAATGGAAAACCATCTATAACGCAAAATATAAACTGTTATTGCTTGGCTGAAACATTGTATGACTTTTAAAGCCTTTCTGTTTGTATAGCTTGATTCAAAGTTACATTTGAAAGTATTTGTCTTATGTATAGAAAACCTGTGATTTAGTGTTTGTACTATGGTGTACTTTAATGTTAACACTAATAAAAATGTTTTGGTTAAAAAAAACAACAACAATACACCTCTCATTGTCATCTGCAGGCACCAACCAATTCAAGCTTTCACTTCCAGGATCATATGAGAAGCAGCTGAACATCCCTTGCAAGCTAGACTCTGATCAGAATTGTGAGATTCCATTTGTCTTTCACATTGGCAAAGATATATGTTCAGAACTGGGTGTGGAGGTGGAACAAACCATTACAGTCCTTCAGGTGAGAAATGTCCACACAGCTCATACTTGTAGACTTAAGGGCCACGGTGGCTCAGAGGTTAAGATGCTGAGCTACAGACTGGAAGGTGTTTAGTTTGTCAGTTTTGAGACCCTAGTGCCGCATGACAGAGTGAGCTCCTGTCTCTGGCCCCAGCTCCTGCCAACCTAGCAGTTCGAAAGCAAGAAATTGCAAGTAGATAAATAGGTACCACTTCCATGGGAAGGTAACAGTATTCCATGCACCTCAGCGTTTAGTCATGCCGGCCCCATGACCATGAAAACGTCTTTGGACAGCGCTGGCTCTTCGGCTTGGAAACGGAGATGAGCAACGCCCCCTAGAGTCGGATTTGACTAGCTTTCGAGCAAAGGAAACCTTTACTTTTAGACTTACTACTTCCTCCTATACTGACCAGTCCACCAGTTTAGATCCTCTTCTCAAACCCTACTCTCTGTACCTCTGCCTCCAATCAGAGATGGGGGTTCTTTCAGCTATGGTAGCTTGTGTTTGGGATCCCTTCCTGCTTGATGCTCACCTGGGGCTTACCTTACTGTCCATTATGCACCAGATCCAAACAATTCTTTCATGCAGGCTTTAACTGTGGAATTTCATTTTTGTACCAGTTTTGTGGTCAGCTTCTAGCTTGAGGATTGTTCTATGAATGCCATTTTAGGATACTGAATTATTTTTATGGTTTGTTATCTTATTGATAATTCTTATGTTGTAAGCTGCCTCAAGAAGGTTTCTGGAGAGCTGCAGTATGAAATTTTTCTAAATAAATATCTTTATGAATGCAGTCTTTTTCTTCACAGGATGGAGTGAGTCCTGACTTTGAAAAGCACAGCACGGTTCTTGGATCAGGGACTGTTCCGTTTCATTCACTTCCTTTGGGAAAGGACACTGAAATGACTGTTCCATTAGGAAAAGTATACAATTTCAGTTTTTTTGCTACATTATAATGCTTTTGGGGTTATAATGTGGGTTGTGGTGGGAGCTCCTTATTTATTTATTTATTTTCATGTCTTTCAGTGATTTGCTTCCAAGGAGGCTTACACAAAATGCACAGTTTTTAGACAGTTTTTTACAAATAATATTGCATTGTTTACTGGATGTATTATACTATTTTTATTTTCATTGCCCCAGGAGTTGGGCTCTCTTCACATGACACTAGATGATAACAGCAGCAATGGAAGAATGCGGAGGGGAATAATCCTCTCTAGGCCTCCGGTTGTCCTGGCTGCTGCTTGCTGCTGTCTCTGCTGCTCAGTAGGAAGGGTCTCTTTCCTTCTCCCTCTTCTTCTTCAGTGTAACTTGACACTAATGCTGTCTTGGGCATAGATATTCCTAAAAGATGTGACCAAGAAAAGCCAGTGTTGAAATTACAGTGAATTCTAAGGTTGCCAGCTTTCCATTTCACACATTCTGGTGTAGAGTCTGGAAAGTAAAGTCTGTCAAGTGGCAGTGGAGCCCAAAAGCTTCTGACAGGTTGGAGGTGAAGCCCAGAGAAAGAGTCTTTACTTTACCTAATGTAGACATGCACAACTTTGATGGACCTCTGCTCCATATGTTTATCTGATTCCCTCTTGAAGTCATCCATGCTTGTAGCCGCCACCACCTCCTGTGGCAGTGAATTCCATGTGTTAATCACTCTTTGGGTGAAGAAGTACTTCCTTTTATCTGTTCTAACCTGACTGCTCAGCAATTTCATTGAGTGCCCATGAGTTCTTGTATTGTGAGAAAGGGAGAAAAGTACTTTTTTCTCTACCTGCTCTATCCCATGCATAATCTTATAAGCCTCGATCATGTCTCCCCTCATCCGTCGTTTCTCAAAGCTAAGAGCCCCAAGCGCTTTAACCTTTCTTCATAGGGAAAGTGTTCCAACCCTTTTATCATTCGAGTTGCCCTTTTCTGCACTTTTTCCAAAGCTATAATATCCTTTTTGAGGTGTGGTGACCAGAACTGTACACAGTACTCCAAATGAGGTCGCACCATTGATTTATACAGGGGCATGATGATACTGGCTGATTTGTTTTCAATTCCCTTCCTTCCTTTTTTTTTTTCAAGCCCCCGGAGGGGATTTTTTATATTTTTAATACTACAAAAACTAACAATAAAAAATAGGGAAAGGGTAACTACAACTAGGGAGAAAGAAAAGCAACCCACACTACACTAAAAACCCAAGGTTAGAAGATCATTCCCTGTTAAGCTACCGTTAGTAATAAAAAAAAGAAAAGCTGTTAATAAAGAATATACTTTGTGAGAACCTGTCATGTTGTCTGCAAATTTAGCCACTTCACTGCTTACTCCCAACTCCAAATCATTAATAAACAAGTTAAAAAGCATCGGACCGAGTACTGATCCCTGTGGTACTCCACTGCTTACCACTCTCCACTGAGAAAATCGCCCATTTATACTCACTCTCTGTTTCCTATTAATTAGCCAGTTTTTGATCCATTTGTCACTAAATGATACTTGCATACACTCAGGACAGGGCACAGGCACTTTTTCACTCATGCATACTTAGAACTGTGGGAAATTCACAAGATCTGTCTGCTACCCTTTCTTGTGTTTTCTCCTGTTATACACTTCAAATGGTTGGGTAGCATCTAGAGGGTGGCTCGTGTTCTTGTTGTGTCTTTCTTTTGCTTTGTGGGTGAGATTCTGTGACTTCTGGGCAAAAGTGAGGTCCGTGATTCATATGTATATGCAGTATAAGTGTCTCAAAGGAAGACATGTTTAATGAACCAAGTAATAGGAATAGTCCAGGGTACATTAGGAAATTTGGTTATTTTCCCCTGCAGTCTCTTTCAGAGTATCTTCTTTTTTCATAGGAACAAAGTGTGAATCTACATGTGAAAGCTGAACAAATGTGAGTGAACCTTGGCATCCTTGACAGACTGCTAACAAAACTCCTACAGGGTTTAGCCTGTGCTCTTATGATGGTGTTGATTGATCTTTCATTGTAATAACTCATGAAAACCTTACAAGCTGCTATTGTTCCAGAGGCATAGCATTTCATTTGCTCGACTGGAATGATAGTCATGAGCCAAATAAAGTGCATGTTCATTTAGCTGAGAACCTTATGTAGCTAAAGCAGCCCAAGTGCAGAAGAGGTAAGCCATGGTGCAAGCAATTTGAATCTTCATTTATGAGAGTTGCTGCAGAAAAACATAAAGTTGGAGTCCAGTAGCACCTTTAAGATCAACAAAGTTTTATTCAAGGTGTAAGCTTTTGTGTGCATGCACACTTCTTCAGATAGAATTAAATAGAAATTACCAATCCATACATATATGTAGAGGGTGAGCAGTAAATTAGCATGCAACATAATGAAGATGTTTAACAGATTCAAGGACAAAACATGAATAACAAGCTTAGTTTATATGGTTACCATTTGTTTGGGTTTAATTTTGGGGGAAAGCATAGCAAAGGAAATAAATATGTCAGCATTGGAGATTGATGGGCAGATGCATCCTTGATTGTGGAATGCTGAGAGTAATTAACTGAGACCCTGCCATTACAATCTATCCATCTCTTCTCACGCCTGGAGGTGACTCTTTCAGCAACTTCTTATTTGAAGTGGGGTGATTGGCTGTGTAATCTCCCCTGTCCCAAAACGAGTGAAATACATTCCAATCTACCATTCCAAATTACATTACATTCTGCCAGGGCTTTTTTTCTGGGGGAGCACGATGGAACGGAGTTCCAGAACCTCTTGGACAAAATTCTTTTAAAAAATGTTTAAAAGTTCATGAGTTTTCAGTATACAGATTGAAAATTTCATTTCCCTCTTGAGAGTGCCGGCACCTACTATTCTAATCTATTATTCCAAATAAGAAATAGAATAAAATAAAAGAGGATGTATGGCCTTTCTGGGGGATTGGTGAGAACACAAATGTAAGGGCTTAATGGTTTCTACCCATGGGAATATGTAACTTCTTTGATTATATCCATGATTTAATTCAGTTTTTTAAAGACTCTTCATTATATGTCTTGCAATAATGCAAATCTGTTATTAATATTATTTTTTTCTGCTGCTGGTTAATTTTTATTGCCTTGAAGTTCTTGGTATCCAAAAAGGACCCTTATTTCCCATAGACATTCATGGTGTAGGGCCCTATTTTAATCTGATAGATCAAGAATATTAGAAACAATGTTAATCCCACAAAACAGTAATGCAAAGTAAGGGAGAACAATCAGTAAATATATTGAATTGTCAGCATGGCCAGATCTGTGACTATAAATGTTGGGAGCTCTGAACAGACCAGACAGATCATTCTACGAACCTAAGACAAACCCCAGGTTTGCAGAAAAATCTGAAATATATTTTTTAAAATACATTGGGGCATGAAAACTCTCCAAAATAATAGAAGCAGCACCTCCTCCTTCAGGAAATGAATGCCCTCTGCAGTGGCCATTGTGGGGGTTGTTAGGCAGCAACAAAGCAACAACAGTACTGCCAGATTTAAAGCCTTGGTTTCTACCAGTAAAAGGCAGAGGGATGGGAAGGGCCCTTTCCTGGCCCATAGCTACAGTGAGGCATTTCAGGGCTCTACCTCCTGAAACGGGAGGCATGCCCCACAAAAGCTGCAGCCCCTTTCCCCCTCCCCCCTCCCTTTAAATGCTGTTTTTCTAGTGAGGGCTGCCCATGCCTGATCTCCAAGTGGCAAAATTACCGCTTGGAGATCAGGGAAAGCATGCCCCCCCGCTAGAAAAACAGAATTTAAAGGGTTCCCTTTAAATTCTGTTTTAGCCTGATCTCCAAGCAGTGAATCGCCACTTGGAGATCAGGGAAGACATGCAGTCGCCCCTCTCCCTCCCCCCTCCCTTGCTGCCCAACAAAATTTCCCCATGCCCCACTGACCAAAAATTTCTGGCACAGGGCAGGCTCTTTCCAGGGCTGTTTTGGCCTTTAAGGGGAGGACTCATCAGGATTCATCAGGATTTGCATAGCCCTTGCTGCTTGCTACTGTTCAACAGCAGCCACCTCATAAAAACCGCCATGGTGTAGTGGTTAGAATTTCAGACTAGGCTCTGGGGGATCTAAGTTCAGATCTAGGGTTGCCAAATGTTTTTTACCTGGTGGCAGGGGGCTCCTGCCCGGCGTCCTGAGTTAGTGCGCCGCCCGGATGTGACGTCATGACGCCGGGCACACTGGGGGCGGGGCCACAGCCATTTGAGGGGAAAACTCTATGTTTCCCCCTCAAATGGCTGTGGCCCCGCCCCCAGCGTGCCCGGCGTCATGACGTCACATCCAGGCGGCGTGCACGCGGGGGTAGGGTTTCCCCCGGGGCCTGATTCCGCGGGGGCGGAAATCGGGCCTCCAAAGTGAGGGGAAATTCGCCCCCCAGGGGGACTTGGCAACCCTATTCAGATCACCACTCTGCCATGGAAGCTCACTGAGTGACATTAGGCCAGTTATATATCCTAAGCCTAACTTACCTCATGGGGCTGTTGTAAAGATAAAATGGAGGAAAGGAGAATTATCTAAGCTGTTCTGGATCCACATTGTGGGGGAAAGGTGGGATATAAATGAAGTAAACAAATAGTAAGTCAACCTGAAGATAGGGGGCAGATAAATGTTAGCTTGGCTAATGGGTAGGAAAGAGAAGGAAGCAGGAAAAGGTGAGAATATGGGGGGCTGCCAGGAGAATGGAAAGAGGAAATAGTGTGAAGAAGAGGATACAGAGTAAAATGAGGTATCTACCCCCACATTATTGAAGTTTCCCTACCATGCAACTGGGCCCAGCCTACTGCAATTTATTTATTTATTTTTATTTGTATCCAGCCCTCCTCACAAGCAGGCTCAGGGCGGGTGACAACAATGGAAATAGAAAATAATCAAAACAGCTTAACAATAAATAGTTAAAACAGTTAAAATAGCAGGTGATACAGTACTAGAGGATATATAAGGTACCAGCCATTATTGACCTGGCCAGCAACGTACTACTGGGCCATAGTTTTCCCAGGTGGAGTCTGCCAGGGGGTTGGAAGGAAGGATAGCTGAAGATAAGGGGGTTGATAAATATAAGATGGGAAGGAGCAAAGGAAGCAGGAGAAGGGGAAAGGCTATGGGGGCTTTCTGGGCAAGGTAAGAGGAAATAGTGGTGAAGGAAAAAATAAGATGCTTCCCTGCAAGTCCTTGCAGGTCTTCTGCTTGTTAGTCTATAAAATACCTAAGGCAGGTTTCCGAATATGTCCACCTGTACAATGAGGTGAGATGGTGACTTTGGTGGACCACAATTTCTACCTCAGTAGAAGAGCCACACTGGGCATACATAGCTGTTTGCCCTAACTTTAAAGTTTCTTACAGAACAAGAAGGGGTAGAGAATTATCTGCTCAGGCTCCTGGTGGGGGCAGTGGCCTAGTGACAGCCTTAGGCACTGCCACTTTTAAGCAGCCATTGCTTCCTTATTAAATGTTCCTTGTTGAACCTGGATACCACAAGTAAAGTATAAAGATAAAGCAATAAATGTTTATGACCAGGCCATGATCAGTGTGGCTGTTGGTTATTTTTATCTAAAACAAAAGTGTAAAAGGAGCCAGTGTTAATTATGGTTTTGAAATAAAACTATGAAGATACTGACCCCTTGATCAGGGCTTTTGTTCCCTGGTCAGTACTCAATTCTTAAGATATGTCCTTTGTTTATTTTTTTCTGAATCTTTTCGGGTGTATGTTCATCATTTTCTTCCTCTAATGTCATTCTGTAACCCAGCAAAAGAAACCTTGATGTTCGTCTTGGTTTTGATCTTTGTCAAGAAGAGCGGCAATTTTTGGACAAGAGGAAGAAAATAGTTTCTCAGGCACTAAGTAAGGCACTCAAACTGAGAGAGGACCCCAGTAAAGATGAGGTATGTGACTTGCATGTTCAGTGACTTCTGTAGAGCTATTTGCAGTTGTTTACACCTCAGTGGAAATAAAATGATGGAACATTCTAACATTTAAGAGTATATTGCACACTATTAGTTATGAATAATATAATCAAGCAGATAGCTCTAGAATAAATTTAAGAAAACCCCATCATGCCTATAGCATGGGTGTGCATGCACACCGCACACACATTACTAACAGGACTGTGTATATTGCTTTAACATAATTCTATGAGTTTCTGTTTTACCACAATCAAGCTTGATATATTTCCCTATATTGTGCCTGTTTTTTTTCTCCTTTAGGTTCCTGTGATAGCAGTCTTAGGATCTGGTGGAGGGATGAGAGCACTGACATCATTCTATGGCAGTCTGCTTGGGCTTCAGCAGTTAAATCTTCTGGATGCGGTCATATACCTCTGTGGAATTTCTGGCTCTACTTGGTATGCAATAAAGAGATTTCTAGCTGGCTGTGAACTCAGTGGCTTGCCTAGAACCTGTAAGTTAATTGTTCCACCTGCATGCCCTGTGGCAGAATCCTCCTTCTTTTAACTCTGTACAAAATTTGAGACTTTGGACTGATTCACTCAGCACCCAGGGTCCAAGACACACACCCAAGTAATCTGTGCATGTTACTAGGATTGTCCTGGCATTCTTTTATGGAGACGGTAGGGAACATTTTAGGACCCATCTACTAGGCAGCAGCTCAACACGTGGTATGTTCCTGTCTGCTGATCAATTGATGGGGATTTAAAAGCCATAAATCTGCAGGTTTCGTGTAACACAATTTCTTTTATACATTTAAAAGAGAGATTGTTTTTTTTAAAAGAATTAAAATAGCATTCTGTTCTAACATCTGATGAATAGGTAATTGCCTATGGAATTTCATGCTTTTCAATAAATATATTGTAGTTAGTCTTAAATATGCAACTAGGTTCTTTTACTAAGTTTTAAAACAGGATTTTTATTTTATTTTTAAAAACATTTGTAGCTGTCATCCAGTTAAGACCCTCAAGGCAAGAAATGGTTAAAAAGACAATGCAAATCAGTTTTCAAGCAGTACATCTATGATAACCTGTCATTAAAACAAACAAGAAGGAGGGCAAATAATGGAATGCTAGGTGAAACAGAAGAATCTTCACCCATGAGCAGTAGCCAATGATAGAGTGGAACAGCCAAATCTCCCTGGGGAATGAATTCCACAGTTTACGTGCCATAGCTAATGAGTGCCTTTCTAACTAGCCTGCATGCACCGTTGAAGTTGCTGGAACCTGCTTGTTAGGCTTCTGGTCCTCAGTTTATATTCAGCAGCAGATGCTGGCTCCACCCAATACACATCTGGTAGACTTAAATTCTTGCCCATATTACCACTTCCTGAATTTTCCTGTCATCTGTATGGCTGAGATAGGGCTGATGATAAGTCCTTTTTTCAAGAAAGACGTACCCATAGTGTGTGTGTCAGTACACACACACACACCCTCTCTTGCTTTCATGAGTCAGGGCTTAGATTCTACAAATGGCCGAATCTGATCTCCCTCTTACCCACTGCAACAGTGTTCTGTCACTCTTGAAAAAACTGTTGCTGGGAATTGGGGAAGCCTCATGTGCAAAATTTCACATGGCATGGGGGGGGTGCAGTGAGGAGGGGGAATCCAGTGAAATTGCTTCTCTTGCTGTTCTGGTGGGGAAGCACAGCAGTGTAACCTTTCTTCTCAGTCAGAATAGCCTCCTGGGGTGGACAGCATTTTGTCCTCAGTGCTCTCCTGAAATGCCCTGCCTCCTCTGTGTCATGTTTTTGGAGTTCACAGGTTGCTGACTGGAAGAAAAGATCCATGAACACCTTCTGCTTGTGGTTTGTAGGATCTAAGCCAGGATAATTAATTAAATGCTGAAATAGTGCTATGTTTCTTGAATTTGATGTGATGTTATGCCAATAAAGGTTATTGGAATTGGAATTTGATGTGACAAAAAGTTCAGTCGTTTAAATTTCTGATGGAAATTTTTGCAGGTGTTTGTCAACATTGTACCAGGACCCTGAATGGTCATGCAAAGATCTCAGACAGCCAATCAGTAATGCCTGTGATAAAATATCCAGCAGTAAAGTGGGAGCCTTTTCCTCAGAGCGTCTAAAGTATTATTTCCAGGAACTGAATGCAATGGAGAATGAGGGACGCAGAGCTTCTTTCACAGATCTGTGGGGGCTTATTGTAGAGTATTTCCTACTGCAGAAGGTAAGACATTCTAAATTGGAAAATATGTTGCTGCTCAGCAGGTTCACTTTCTTACATAGCTGCAACATTCTTATTAGATACATGCACCTTTTCTGTATAAGCTCAGAAAGAAGTGGTGTGCTGGAACAACTGTGGGTCATCATTTTTTTAAAAGAAATAAGTTGTTTTCTGGAGAAAACAATTAAAATATGTACTTGTATCACACTTTTCTTCCCAGTGGGGACCTGAAGCAGCTTACAAAAATAAAACCCAAGTTATATAAACAAATAAAACACATTATAAAAATGAAGCAAACAAAAAAGGTACACTTAACAATCTGAGCTGGTGTCCACTGAGTAAATACACAAAGGTCAAGGCCATGGGCTGAGAGCCATGGGCTAAGGGCCAGCAGCCCCTAGGGCTAGGCTGTTGCCCTTGTCCAGCAACAGAGGAGAGAAAAACATTCAATGTGGATCTTACAAGCTGGCAGCCATCTTCCCACAACTCCCCCTCCACTGAAATATTATGCAAACATATAAAGGATTTATACCCCGCCCTTCACTCGGAGTCACAGAGCGGCTTACAAACTCCTTTCCCTTCCCCTCCCCACAATAGACACCCTGTGAAGTAGGTGGGCCTGAGAGAGCTCTGAGAGAACTGCCTTTTCAAGGACAGCTCTGACAGAACTATGGCTTGCCCAAGGACATCCAGCAGCTGCAAGTGGAGGAATGGGGAATCAAACCCAGTTCTCCCAGATTAGAGTCCATGCACTTAACTACTACACCAAACTGTCAGAGTTTAGCACTTTGAATAATCCCTTTGGTTTCAGTCGGAGGAAGTTAAGCACGTGTTCAGGCCTTCCACTGAAACTGATGTGACTTTAAATGGCGTAAATTTATCTTGATCATGTCTGTTATATTTATAAATTAAGTGTATAATTACATATTTTCTATAATGATGCATCAGGGAAGAAGTGATTGGGGGAGACTTGTTTTTTATCTTCACTGATAAACTCTCTTTCTAGATTTTTTATTTATCATACACAAAGATGAAATGTGTGGGCATCTTGCTTTTGCAAACCAATGGGCTATGTACCTATTTACAGCTAAATGAACTGTAAGTCGTTAGGTGGAAAAAATTAAGCTAATTATACTGTCACAGCTTTAGCTTGCTTGTGGCACCATCCTGAGCAGAGTTACACCCTTCTAAGTCCATTGATGTCTGTGGGCTCAGAATGGTATAACTCTGCTCAGGATGGCACTGTGGGTCACTATAAATGGTCAGGGACTTGACAAAAGAATATTAATATTTATTGACTGTAAATCAGGGGTGTCGAACTCATTTGTTATGAGGGCCGGATCTGACATAAATGAGACCCTGGTGGTCCGGGCCATGTGTGTCATAAAATGTAATGCCAGGTAACGGAGATATAAACTTTATAAAGGACACAAATACAAAGGTTTTTTTTACTTAAAATAAAAACATGCTTAAAACAACACTCTTGCAATATTTTGTTTATTTAACAGTGTCTGATAACTGACACCTCTTGCTCTGAATTATTGCATCAAAATGTCTGTGCTGTTGCAATCATGCTGTTCAGGTGTGTATCTGTAAGCTGCAAACCTATGATGATGCAGCAGCAACAGAACTTGAAAAAGAAGTAGAAGATAGCCAGTTCCACTGCGGGCCTGATAGAAGTCCTCTGGGGGCCTAACCCGGCCCCCGAGCCGCATGTTTAACACCCCTGCTGTGGATTGTTGTCTGAATGAGCACTCCACCTACAGGGCAGGGTGAAACAAGTGATCTTCTGGTGGTGTATGTGTATAAATGTCCCAGAAATATCTATTTTGAATGCTGAATGTAAAAAAAATGAGTTTTTGGAGCTGTTAATTGGCTGAAGGTGAAACTTCTTGAATGCAAGGATGCTCAGTGAGGATTTTCTGCCTACTGTAAGAAGTTATTAGCTCCTGAAGTTCTCTGATTGTGTATTTGTAAGTAATATCAAATATTAAAGAATTAGAAAGTCTTCCATGCTCACTCTTCTAAAGGAAACTAAACTCAGAAGAACTCCCCCTGAAATTTCTCTTCAGCTGGAGAAGTGGGGAGTATGCAACAATATTATGTGCATGATAATAATAATAATCTTTCTCAATTTATTGATCGCTCAATCCTTGCAGAACTGCTGGCTCTGAGCGATTTACAGTTACTCATGTGTAGACACGGGACTAACAATGATGGGGGTAAGGGAGGACAACATATATCATTTAAATCACACACTTCGTAGTCGACAGGGAGTTTGGTCAGCTGTAAGAATCAGATGTGTCCCGGCAGCATTCTTTAGTCGGCATCGCTTGATGTCGTCAGCATTTTCTCGGTCGCAGCGCACCACTGCCACCGTCTGGCCAGAATGGCCCATTGCAGGCTTTTCTTTGAAGCTGTGTAGACCTCTCTCTGCTTTTGAGCTTACGTGCGGACCTTCCATTTGTCAACTAACACTTTCCCACCGGGGGGGTTAAGTGTGCCCACCCTCTCTAAGGAGTGGTACCCATTTTATCTACTCGCTGAAGCTTTTGAACCGCTGGGTGGATGGCGAGCTGGGGACACGGCTGGTAGCTCACACCAGTGCAGGGCTCGAACTGACAGCAGTCCTGTTCAGCTCAGATGTTTAACCAGAGGATAAATCCCCTGTGCCACCGCTGATAATAATTTTAGTAGAGTTAATTATGAAGTAGTAGAGTACATGTTGATGCCTTGCATCTGTGGATGTGATCTGATCTGATTCCTCCTCACACCAAAGTGGCCAGATTGTGGGGCATTTAGTTTATGGTTTTCTCCTTTGTTCTTCAGCAAACACTTTTGGGACCAACAGTAGGCTGCTTTGCGGAGGTGAAGGTGGGGAAAGATCTGCTTCATCAGCTTGTTCTGCGAGCTTTTGTGCTGGATCCTACCCAATGGGTAGTATGCTAGCCAATTAAAGTTGTTGGATATTAATATTAGGAAGTGCATATAGTTGTAATACAGATGCATACTGAATAAGTGTGAGAGAGACACTAATTTCATTTCCAAAATAATTAATTTACTAATGCTTTTTTTCAGG